TAATTTCCAATCCAGGATATTGCCCTACCACCCATGAAAACTATTCTGGCACCAAAAGTAATGACAAATGCGAAGTGTAATAGAAAAGTAGAGCAAAGAGCCATTCAGCTTCAGTCTTTACACACCATGAATAAAACATTAAAACATCACATGGAGAAGTTTACATGGTGATTGTTCACCTGCAGTACTGTGGACTTTTAACTGTTTGTCCCCTTTTCAGTGAAACAGTAAAAATATTCATCTACCATTACTGTTATTTGCTGATTTTATTTTATTTCGATGGTAATATTCTATCCTTATGACACTATTGCAACCAAATTGGCTTTACCATCTTGGCTTTAGTAGGTATAGAAGACAATGGATTACCATCTTTATTGCTGTAATGTGTTAAGCATTATATGCTAGTAGAATCTAGTTTAATTGTTTCAGGTGGAAAGTATTCTTTGAGTTTCCATTTTGAATGTGTTTGGACTAAACAAACAATAAACTACTGATGTCTGCAGCATTTATCTATGTCCCTAATTTAATCTGTAGTTCTTATGTTCCCAAATGTTTTCTCCCAGTTGCATTTCATACAGCCTAAGTGGAAATAAGAAATTATTCTAAAACTAGCTGCTTATTGTGAAATTTTATGTATAGAATAAAACATTTAGTAACGCCGAACATTGTTAGAGATCTGTCCCAGTTCAGTTAGACAGCTGATACACAAGTTGAATGTTAGAACAATAAGTAGTAAGGACACTGAAAATGATCTAAAGCAAACTACTAAACGTATTTTAATAAACCATCTTGGGTTTTCTAAAGGATTTCTACCTTGCATCTCAGAAGGAAATGAGAGAAAGGAAGGTATGAGAAGATTGTGGTTATCTGAAGTTATGGACATGGCGCAAGTTCAGAAATAGAAATGAATTTATCAATCTTTACAGGAATATTAGAGAAGTAATCAGTCATATTTAGCCATACTTCCAATAAGAAATGAGGTCCTAACGGGTATGTAATTTCAGAACTTGCACCACCTTGGCTTCAATATATTATCCATTCGGTAAATTCCATATAGTGTATAATGGTCAAGAGCTGGACTTTGGAAACAGCCTGGGCTTGAATGGCAGCTCCACCACTCAGTGGTAAACCTTTTTCTGTGCCTGTTCCCTCATTTGTAAAATGAGTGATTGTGAGGATTCAGTGAGTTAATATTTAAAGCACCTAAAACAATGTAGTAGGCCATCCTCAGTAAGTGCTAGCTGTTACACCGCTCTTGAGTTCTTTGAATTTGTACTGTCAACCTACATGTTCCAAACATGTCTTTTTTAATCCTTTTAGCCACATCCCGTTTGAAGCACTAGCTAATTCAAAACTGGGAAGTCTAAAACTATTTTCTCTAGGTGACATACCTATGCATACCTGACTCTGTAGTAATGAACATCTCTATTTTTCGCATCTATTTAATCAGCCTGCAAATGTTTGGTGTTGCATCTGTGCCACTTAGTATATTCTCTTTGTCTCCCTCTTCCTTTGTTATCCATTTTCCAGACTACAAGAAGACTTGTTCATGTTATTCTGATTAACTTCCACTGGCTCATTCAATTCATTCATTAACTATGTATTAAGCTTCAAAGTGCCAGGCCCTGTTCTAGGTGCTGTTAATAAATGATGAGTTAAATAAGGTTCCCTGCTCTTAAGTTAAAAAGGACTAGGAAGCCCTCTGTGGAGAAATGAGTTGGGTACGTATTTAAGAAGGTGGTGGTTGAGGGGCAGTTGGCCTCAAGGAGGTTGGTCTTTCTCCCGAGAGCAAAGGGAGCTTGAGTTTTGGCACATGGGTAGGTGTGGTAATGGATGTAATGGATGACAAGATTTCTACTTTGAAATGTCTCTGGCTACAGAGCAAACAAATAGGAGTTCAATAATGAATTTGGAGTAAACCAGATAAAAGGATGTAATGTTTCAGTTAAGAGCTGTGATAGAGTGGCAGTGTTAGAAATCTAAAGAATTTGACAGATTTGAAAGATTTGAAGGTAAAGGTAAGATGGCCAGGTCTTGGTGAGGTAAAGAGTGGTATCAAAGGGCATAATCAGAGAAGTAAAATGGGACACGTACGGTAGGAAGGAATAAAACTTTGAAGGAGGGGGCACAGGAGTGCTAGGGAAATCTATGGGATTTTGAAATGAGCTGGACCTGGATAGATCAGGCTGCTTGTTAGCATGGAAGACTTCTCCATTCTATCTTAGTAAAAACAAACAAAATATGCACTCGACATAGTAGCAAATTGTTTCTGAATTATGCAACTGTTTGCTATTTAGTAAGCTAGCAAATGACGCACATTTTGTTTTTCATGTATTGGGCAATATAAGTAAAATTAAATCTTTCTTCCCCCCACGAATGAGGTCTTCCATGTTTGAGGAAAAGTCTTGCACTATTGCATATATTTGGGGGACACACATTTTCATAGTTTCCATTTTAGGGGGGCTTAAGGATTTTTGTTTGTTTCAAACAGTTTTATACTTTCTGATGTATAGTACTTGAAATTCTTACCAGAAAATTACTTTGGAGTTTTGAAGCCTTTATTCAGACTACTTTTAAATAAGTGGTTGTTTTTATTGTCAGTGTTTTATTTTCCCCAAGTGTATTTTTTCTCTATTCTTCTATTG